GAGAGAGAGAGAGAGAGAGAGAGAGAGAGAGAGAGAGAGAGAGAGAGAGACCGAGTCCCCTAATTTCGCAATGACGAATGAAAGTCTGTGCCTTTCCGGCAATTTTCCTCTTGGCGGAGGCTCGACGAGTGAATATACCAGCAACCCCTCTTCTCTTTCCCTTTCTTCCTTCCGCCATCAGCTGGAACACGAGACCTAAAGGACTTTTTAACAGGTCAAGTTTCAGAATCTCGGTGACGCACAAAATGGAATTACTCGGCGAGAAGAAAGCCTACCCACCACCCTCTCGCGCCGTTTTTCTCTAACTTCAACCCCTCTCTACGCGCCCTTGTTCGCTGTTCATGACGTTTTAGATTCACCTTGAAGCGAGTCCAGGTGGGTGGAACGAGAATTTTCTTGGGGGAAGTGGAGGAGTGCAGAAACGAATCGAGTCAGTTTGTTAATCGAAGATGGTTGATAAGATTTGGTAGATTCAAATATTTTTCAAATAAAAATTTTTAATCCGCGCGGATTTTTACGGTAATTCATATTTGAAGAATGAAAACTTGATTTGATAATAAAATGTAGTTGGTGATTGTAACATAGTTTGTTTCCTTTTTTTTTTTTTTAATGAAAATAATATCAATCCTTGAAAGAATAACATATTAATAATTAAAGTACTTAACCGATTGATTAACATCTTTTTGGATAACAATTTATAGGAATATTTTATAATAATTGAAACAAGATGAGTGTCAGTAGAAAATGAGGTAGAAAAATGTTAAATAGTATAAACTAGACAATAAATGAAATATTATAAAGATATTATAAATATTACCTTTAAATTTCACGTGAACGTGTTCATTAATTTGTTACTACTTTGAACCAAGCAGTGGAACACTGCATAAATGTAAATATGAATAAAGTTAAGAATAAGCTTACAGCTTGTTTCATCGAGGTATACGTGAGACAATTTTCAGAGTGTAAGAAAGCAATTTCCCGTATAATAAGTATTCTTATTTCCATCTTTTTCAAATTTCACAGAATTGGAAAAATTGACAGCGAAGGAAAAAAAAAGGAAATAATGACGTAAAAAATATTAAACAAATCCTTGGAA